AAGAACATAAAAGTATAAGTATAACCTGAATCACATAAAGATAATATCTTATATCCTTCAGGTGTGGGTTTATTTTTTATGCGAAACGTATGTGCACTGCGTCCGGAAAATCTTGCGATCATTTCGTCTAATGACAGGTTTGATGCAGGCAAATAAAGTTGTTTTGATATATTTTTAATGTGTGATGCAAGTGGTTCTACTTTTCCAAACCAATTTGATGATAATTTGGTACAATCAGAAAGATGTAAAAAACGTTTGATCTAAAAATTTAAATATATGATAAAATTTTTAAAAAAAAAAAAAACAAACAAAAAAAAAAAGACTTATTTTACTTGTTGAAATCGGAATAATGACATAGTTTTAGTAATATCATGAGATGGATAATTACTATCTTTTTTCCAATAATCAGTAATTGCCGGAAATTTAAATACTCCCATATATATTACAAGCGCTAACCAGATTTTAAATTCATTAAGAGTTAAATTAGTCCAATTTCGACCTTCACCTGCTTGATTTGTACCATGTTTTGCATTATGAACAGCAGCATATATATTGGTATTCGTTACAATAGTTTGCAACTGATGTTCTGAAAAAAATAAACTAAAAATTGAATATGGTGCAGATTTTTGAATTAGAGTAAATTCTTTAGGAAGAATAGGTAAAGCTTCATGTAAAGGATATTTGTGTTGAAAAGGTAAAAAATCGTCTGATTTTTTATATATTTCATTGGATTTATTATTATTTTTTTTATTTTTTTCATTTATTAATTGTGAATTTTCTTCAATAACTACTATTGGATAATCTAAATTATCAATTTCATCAATATCTTGTTTACGACTAAAAGAACAAAGATAAAATTCTTCTTCGGTTTGTAAAGTTTCATTCATTTTAGATAACTATATTTACGATAATCTATTATTTAATTAAATTTATTTAATCAAATTTATTTAATCATGTGATTTTATTTAATTTGATTGGTTCTTGTTAATCGAATTTTCTTAAAAAAGTTCGCAGGCAAATTTGCCTGCGCGACAATCTCATATTTTTAAGTTACACAAACTTAAAAACCTGTTATTATATTTAATTTGTAAATCAGTATAAATTTAGTATTACTATAATACAGAAAATTAACTTTAAAAATTTCGCAGGCAAATTTGCCTGCGTGACAATCTAAGGGATATATAAATTTATACAAAAAAATTATTTAAATTGAATTTATTTAAAAATATATATATAAACTTTTCTTTAAATTTTAAATATATATTCTTTAGCATTTAATAATCTTTTGTTTAAAATTTAGTTTATAATTTTAAGTAAAAAGCTAAAAATCTTTCTTTAAAGTTAATTAATTTTTTACTATATTCTTTAAATCAAATAACTAACATATTTCAATTAATTATATGATTAGTTAAAATAATTATTTAAAAGTTAAAGAAGTTTTTATTAAATAAAAATTTTTTGTACTTTAAGTAAATTTTTTTTTCATATATTGGTAGTCTTACCAATATCTTTATTAGATTAAAGCAAATATACAAGTATATCTTAAACTATCTAAGTTGTAGATCCAACATTACTTAGCTCTCTTTGCGGATATTTAAGCGTGGTTTGCTTTACTGGTTAAGGCTATTGTCTATACTAGGGTTGTATCAGGCTAGCTAGCAAAACTATAGCAAGATAGTTTTATTTTAAAAAAATTTTAACTATATTTAATTGGTAATTTCTTCCTTTTAATCTATTCTTCTCTTTAAAATAATAATCTAATTCTAGTTCTATATTAATACTTAATTTTATTTTATCTTTTATTAAAAAATTATTATCAAGATTCTTTAGATTATACTTGAGTTTCCTTTTTCTTTTCTTTTAATTTATTCTGTCCTTTTCAATTAGTAACTCAGCTCTTAGGTCTTTTTATATCTTTTTTTTATAATTTTTCTTTTATTTTGTAGCTTCATATTCTTTTTCTTCTTCTAGAAAGTTTATTCTAAAGTTTTTTCTAAGAGTATTTTTTATAGGCCTTCTCTCTTTCTAATTGTCTTGTAGCTTCTTTTGGTTTTTTTGTTTTTAAGTTTTGATTAGTTTATTCAAGTTTTTATTCTTTTTTGTCTTGAATCTAAATATTTTCTTCTTTTCTTTTCTTTTTAGAATATGATTTTCTTTTTAGAAACTTTTTTGTATTTTGATAAAAAGTTTTTAATTTCTAAACAATTCTACAATAATTTTTCTACTATCTCTAGTATTATATTTTTTTTTTCTTTTTTAATTCTTGATTTTCTTTAATCTTTCTGCTAATGTCTTAAATCAAATTTGTATTAATAATCCATTAGAATCTGAACAATTGTATCTACTTTACTAGCAAATTTTTTATATTTTTTTTAATTTTTGTTATTAATTTATGAGTTTCTTTGCTTGCTTGATATACTATTTCTATTATCTATTCTATTAGAATTGTTAATTTTTGGTCTTGTTTCTTCTTAAATCTTGTTTAGAATTTTTTGCTTTTATAAGGCCTTTAGCATTTTATTTCTTGATTCTCTTTTTTTTCTTATTTTATTTTTTATTTTTTCTTATACTAGTTTACTGTAACAGCTTCAATAGATTCTTTAAATTATTGTACTAATATCTTTA